CCCCCAAAACCCCAAAACCCCAAAACCCCATAAAAATATATCAATTTGAAATACTTATTTAAACCCTGAGCTTAAACATGTCCGAAGACGATCTCAGCCCAAGAAGACTCACCAAAAGGTACCTTCCGCATAACCCACAGACCCCCCTACAACCCCTACTCCAAAATCCAATTTCCCCCTTCCTCCACTCCATCCACTACCTCCCTCCCCAACCACTCTTCCTCAACTCCCACTGGGTAAATCCTTCCTCTAACCTTCAGCACGCCTACTCCTTCTGTCAACATACTCTGTAACTCTAGGAAACTTCAGCGGAAACTTGGTAAGTGAGTGGGGGATGGGAGGGGTCTTGGGGGTTAGAAGGTGGTGGGGATGGGAAAGGAGGTTGTGTGGAGGTGATGTTTTGTATAGATTATTATATCACGCCTTATAATAACTCGGTGTTGTATGAGCCATATATGACATTCGATGATGCTGTAGTAAGTCTTGAACCATTAGAACTTCAATAACACAAAACCTATTAAAAGATAGCAAAGTAGCTTTATTTTAACTGGAGCTTGGCAAGTCTTAATAAGTTTTTAATAGATTTTTGATAATAAGATTAGCACAAAGAGAATATTTCAGAGAAGCCTAAATTTAACTGGTCATTGCTTAAAAAGATTGTTCTATCAAAATTTAATTTTAAATAAGAGTAAAATTAGAAAAATAATTGCTATAGAAAGACCAGAAAATGCAAAGAAACATCTGAAATCTATTAGAGTAAAAACTTATTAAATGATTGAATAGAGATCTAACACGAGTTTCAAAATGTTAAAATAAGAAGCCTAAAATTCGTTCTCAAAGTATTATTTATGAGATAAAAAATTAGGAAGTTACTCTTGTGTACCTTGCGAGGATAAACCTCAGGATGAGTAAGTTTGTAAATAATCTTAGGCCTGAAAAATGAAGTATTTCTATTGATTTTTCGATTGATTCGAAAGGATCGCGACAAAAGATCATTAAGATAGAGCAAAAACCAATTAAGACTACTTTTAAATAAGCCAAAAAAGTTTTTAAGTATGCTGAAATCTAACTTTTATGTCGAAATATCTACCAAAACTGCACACAAGGCTTCAAAAGAAGTAGCTTCTTAAAGCCAAACATTGAGCGCTCTACTAAAATTAATCACTCCAATCCAAATCTAACAAATAGCCAAGACCAATTATCAAACACAAATTATAACCAGGAGCACAGTATCTACAGATCAACTCATTTTCTGCCAAGGACTTCCAAATCTCTTCTATTCCGTATATCCTCCTATAAAACCTAGGTCCTATTCTTCGCCCAGAACAGCCAATTGCGAACCAACATAAACTACGAAAGTCCTTTGATCAATGGTAAATCTCAGCTTTAATGACTAGAAAGTCTTTTCAGGAAACATGGCGGATCAGGCCAATTCCCATGAAAAATACTAGGAATAAAAGCTCATTTGGTCCTAAGAATAACATTTCAGATATGTGCAGAGAAGCTGAGAAAAGGTAATTTACTCTCTAGATGAAGATAGTTTTTGGCAAATCTGAAATTTAGTGAAACTATTACCTCCCAAACTAGTCTTCTGAGGAATAACCTTGTTGCTTCTTATAATTTCAAAGCTTAAGTCTGGATTTATAAATTTGATCTGGCCAAATGTTTTCAAGAGCTGGAATATGCCATTTCTTTGAGATAACAACTAAGCAATTCGAAGATAACAAAATCATAGGCTGAAAGGACTAATTTATGTTAGATTGGGAAATATAGTTCGAGGAAAAAAATTAGAAATTGTTTAATATTAAATGAATGATTGCAAATTATTATTCCAGTCGTTAAGTATACATTTATTCCAAAATAAATTTTGTTTTAAGATGCTTGATTTAAAATTAAAAAGGATTTTGAAACAGCTCCATCTAATCATCTAAATTCATTGGATCTAGTTTACAAAGACCTCCAGCAATACTTCAGAACACACAGAAACACGATGGAAATAAAATAAAAATCATTGTTAGCTTCAAGTTTAACTCTTCTAGAAAAAGAAAGTAAAATTTAGCTTTGCCAATTCGAAAATGAAAAATTCAAAAAGACAAAAATTATTTCCAGATTCATCCTTCTACAACACAAAGAGAAGGGGTAAAAAATGGAAGTTTAATGCTCATAAAGTACTGGATTCTGATATTCCGGTGAGCAGTGAAAACTTTCTGTGCAAACTACTAAATAGGAAAGTTAATTTTTAAGCATCAGCTTATCTCACTCTCTATTTTCAATAATTTCCAGTGATAATGGGGTTTTGGGGTTTTGGGGTTTTGGGGTTTTGGGGTTTTGGGG